GCTGCCATACGACGCGCCCCCCTCCCCCCTCTCGCTCGGATCCCGCGGACGAAGTTTGTCCGCTTTCTGACCATTTTTTCCCTACCTGTGGGGACTTTTTACTATCTTTAAGTTTCCCTGAGGAGCCTGAAAGATTTTTAAAAAATTAAAAAACCAACGTATTTGGCGGTTTCGTAGCGGGTCGAATCGACGGTGCCGTTTCCGACCCACGTTTCTCGCGGGGCTGCCGGCGGGCGCCGCCCGGGCCGCCCCCCGCCGCCGTGTCAGTCCACGTTTCCGTGGGTGAATTTGACTTAAATAGTCGGGGGGGAATTTTTCTCGGCTTCCTCTCGTAGCCGAGGAGACGGACGAGCCCGAGCGGGAACGAGCTGTTGCCGCGAGGTCCCGCGGGAAGGCGCGCCGTGCTTCCGAACGTCACCGCCTCTTTCGTTTTAAACCGCAGACGACGACGACGTGCACAAGTGCGGGCGCTGCCAGGCCGAGTTCACCTCCTTGGAGGACTTCGTTCAACACAAGCTGCAGAAGACCTGTCAGCGGACGCAAGACGCCGTTGCTGCCGCGTCGGCGAATCTTCTGGGTCCGGAAGCGCAAAAGGTGACGTCTGGCATACGCTCCCTTCGTTAGGACGCAACGAAGTAGCGAGCGGGGTAGACGGGAGACGACGCAAGACGTGATTGTAATGTTTCCTACTAAACCGTTATCTGTTACGGCAGGTCGTTCCTTCTGTTGAGGAATCGATAACTGTTGCTCATATAGTTGTTGAGACCTCTTCGATAGCAGAAGAAATCAGTAATGCATCAGCTATCGTAGGTAAGTGGCAAGGGTTAGGTGCCTTGTCGTTGGCACTGTTTTTAGAGGTTTGTTTGTTTGTTTTTTGCTGCTTTTTCTAGTTGGGCTCTCAAGGTTTGTGATCGATTTGACTGGTGACCGCTGTAGCCACGGGCAGGTTGAGCTAGCGTAGTTGGAAATGGAAGAGTTCGGGTCTTGGTGGGGTGGTGCAGGGGGGTTATTTTATGTAAAGCAATGTAAATTATATTTTTTAGGGAGGTAACGAGGCTGGAAACTACTGTGTATCCTCGTCCCAAGACAGTTAAATGGAAAGAAGCCTCTAGTTTATCACCAAAATGACCGTGTATCCTCGTCCTAAGACAGTTAAACTAGAGACTTCTATCCATTAATCACCAAAATGACCATGACTCCTTTAGAAGTAATTTGAATCATCTGGAGTGAATCTTAACATTTATTTAATTGCAGTTTTTGCCTGCATTTATTTAACCAGCATATGCAGGTCCTTGCTGGGGGAGACTGTTTCTGCAACTGATCCTCTCTCAAATGCTCGATTTTTAGTTCAGATGGAGTTGTGTTAAAATATTGATGTCCATAATAATTAGTGTTGGAAATATTCATTCTCTCTCTCTGTCTCGCTCATACTTTTTTAACACGTATCTTTCTGAAGTCTACTTATTTCCAGGATCCACTTCTGCCTGGGTCTACATTAGTAAATTCATAAGTATTGTTTCAAAAAAAAAAAAAGGAGAGACTTAAATTATTTTTTTCCTCTTCCCATAGAAGCTTTACTTGATTAGAAAGTTTAGAATTTAGAGTTTAGAAAGCTTGATTAGAAACGCTACTTCACAGTCAGGGTGGCTAGGACCTGGAACCAACTTCCAAGGGAAGTGGTGCTGGCTCCTACCCTGGGGGTCTTTAAGAGGAGGCTGGATGAACACCTCGCCGGAGTCGTTTGACCCCAGTGCTTTTTCCTGCCATGGCAGGGGGTTGGACTCGACCTGCTCAGGTCCCTTCCGACCCGACCAACTATGAAACTGAGAAACTTTTTGGCTTTTGTAATGGCCACTTCCATTTGGTGTATAACCACTGTGTCCCTGTCCTAGGGTTTGGCAGCAGTACAGTTCTTTTGTTCTGGCTGTCATCACAGATGACTTTTGGCTTGCACTGTGTAGCCTGTTTTCTGAATAAAATAAATCCATGCTGCAAAGATGTGGACCAGACTACCCAGCTTCTGCTCTCTCCCAGCACAAATGGTTCGGTGTCATTTTGCTGTCAAAGATCATGTGAAATTACATCCCTAATTCTCTTACACGACCGTAGGCAACACCTTTCTGACTGGTTTGATGGTTGAGAGAGGTTGACCTGTTGCACAGGAATGTATGTGAGCCCTTGGTTTGATAGTGTTAGGGAGGCAGTATGCTGAACTCCTGCTAGGATGGGATGGGGGTAGGAATCCTGCACGGCCCCTTTCTAACTCCTACCTGGTTATAGCTAATAATTAGTTTAATTTTAAACTCCAAAGGCATAGATCATGCCCTTGGCCACCTTTGGCATAGTACTAGAAACGCAATAGTTACATACTTAGTCAATATGGACTTTGCCGTGCGCTGTTCCTGCTTAAAGGCACCTGCTTCTCTTACCTTTCCTTTATCTGAAATCCTAAACATCAAATCCAGCCAGTGCTCTGAGTTAATCTTTGGTAAAGAACGTAACTGTCTTCCTATTCTTTTCCCAGGAAGTGGGCACATCAAGGAGGTCATTGTTGCAGGAGATCATGTTTTTGAAAATCCCAATGGTGACATTGATGGTGAGATCACTGAAGGGCAGGACAGCCCTGATGACAGAGAACAGGGCATCTCCACAGAACTCATCAAGGTGAAGCTGCTGGTGAATAAAGAAGGCCGATATGTGTGCGAGTTGTGTCAGAAGACATTTAAAACGGTAAGGTTTGCTTTGCAAGTGCTCACGGCACCCAGTCCTTAGGAAGCCTATGCCTCGGGGTCTTTGCAGACCTGCTGGAAAATGCATTTTTGACTGCATGGTGCTAGTATTTACAGATTCACCTTATCTCAAAATAGTATCACCCCGAATAATGGAGATTCATGCTAAAGCATTAACTGCCACCTACCAGATCACAGCATTGAATCAAATCTTTATCTGGAATCCTGTCTCTAACAGTGGCCAGAGAGAAACCTGTCAAATCTCCAGAATAGTCGAGCATAATACTAATCTGCAGGGGAAGCTGCTGCTGCTTCACCTTGGTAATTGGCTTACACCCTGAGGCACAGTGGTTTGCATCTCATTTGCATGTAGTGCATCGCATCCAGTTACTGTAATATGTCCCACATAACCTGTTGTATGAAGCTGTGCATTCCAGCAGGTCCAGTTTTCCTGCATATAAGGCGGTTCATAAGCATCTAGCCTTAACCTTGACAGCATTTGGAATGGTTGTTTTTTCTCTGCGTTCTAGCAGATACACAGTTCTCTCTTTAATGGCAAATAGCTTGGTTGTTCTTGAACGTCTCTTTAATTGATGAAATTGTAAATCACTGATAAATGTTCTTCCCAATTTTTAAATGAACTTGCTAGGCCAGTATTCTCAAAGCTCACATGATCACTCACAGCAGCAGGAAGGACTATGAATGTAAACTCTGTGGAACGTCCTTTAGGACAAAGGGCTCTCTAATCAGACACCACCGGCGCCACACAGGTAAGATGCTCGTTCTTTCAGCAAAATGTTTTCTTCTGGCTGGAGTAAACTGTACTTGGTTCTTCCTTGGTACCTCAGTGATGAGCTGTCTGCTTTCTGTCTTCTGATCTGAGCACATTATAAATCCTACAATATTTGGGCTTCTCAGAGGCTGAGGTTAGAATGCTTGTTTTTGCAGATTATGCATGTAATTGAATGGAAGGTAGTAGGCCCAGACTGGCACGTGTGCTCCAAAAGGCCATGAAGCACTACTCGCAAAGTATGGCTTATCAGGTCAAAGCTCTTGGTCAGCACTGATGGATGTTGGTGTCTGGTGTGGTGATTCATGCCTTCTCCTTTTTCTTGTTAAGATGAGCGACCTTACAAATGCAAAAAGTGTGGGAAAAGCTTCAGAGAATCAGGAGCTTTGACTCGGCATCTGAAATCCTTGACGCCTTGCACTGAAAAAATCCGCTTCAACATGAACAAAGAAATAGTTGTTAATAAAGATGATTTGCCAACAGGTCAGTGAAATGGCAGCTGCATGCACTTTAAATCGGATAAAGTAGAGGTCATGTTCCTGGCACTCAAATAAAAGTGTTCTTTCCTCCCTGTCTTTAATATAAATAAAATATGTTTCTCCATGTTAAAGCACCAGCTCAGAGTGCACGTGGAGAGGCCTGACATGGATGAATACATCTAGGTCACAGAATGCGAGACTTATTTCAGAATTTGGCAGCAGGAAGACCATTTCACTGAGCACAAAACTTAAATTTCCACTCTGAAAATGGGAAATATTGGATGCCACTTGTACAGAAAGAGCGATTAAAGAAAGTGACTCGTGTTAAATACAAGTAGTAGTCCTTAATAAGCAAGATAGTGATATTCTTAGATACTTGAATAAGACCAGTGAAGTAGAACTAAATGAATATGTAGCTGGAAGCTGGGTGCTTCTAATTCTACTGCTTCTAAAGTAATGTAATTGGTTTTTAATTCTGGTGCTTTTCTTGAAGGATCCTGTAGCTCGAATGCAGAGACTGTTTCATCTATAGCAAGTGAATCCATTGAGACATCTCCCGTGATTCATCTAGTGACTGATGCAAAAGGCAATGTTCTTCACGAAGTCCACGTCCAAATGCAGGAACTGCCTGTTGTTGATACTAAATCCTTGGACCAAGATGTGAGTGTCGTTTCTGTTGCATAAAACAGATAAAAGGATCCAAAGTAGCAGAAATGCTTTTTCTTGGCTTCAGGGTCCTGGAGTTGGAAAGCAGTTCTGTTCATTTAAATTCCTCTCATCAGCCTCAAGGTGGTGATGAACATTGTTTAATACTCTCTTCCCAAAATGAGCAGCTACAGATGCATAGTTCAAGCTCAGATCCTGATATTAGCTGGCAGCACTCCAAGGAACATTGAATGGTGGTTTTATAAAGGACAGACTCAAAAGAAATGTAAAGAGGACTTATACATACCTAGCCCCGCAGACCTGAATAGACTAAAGCTAGCTCTGTCCTGTTCAGTAAGTACGTTCCTGTAGACCGGTTCCGATGCCATATGCAAGCATTCTGAGTTCCGCTGCAAGTGGCTGTGTAACTCATGCTGCTGGGTGCCTCGTTCCAGGACTGAGAACTGGAGGCATCTATAGCTGTGCATGTTCCTTCTTGCTGCTTATTTGGTCAGGAACAAAAATTCTGTCGTTCACCAATACTTTCATTATGATAAAAGACGATAATAAGTAGTACACCTGCAGTCAGGTGAGTGCGAGGATGCTTCTCTTACCCCTGTTGTGAAACTGACTCCAAAAGCAGGTAGGAAAAAGCCTTGGAAGTAAAGTAAAAATAGTAACTAGGTGACTTCTCTCAGCTGTCCCCCATCACAGAATGGGTCATGCTGGTGATAAGCCCCATTATGCATGGAGTACTGTTGCCTACAAGATTAATTTAATGCTTCCTGTAGTTACCGTCTGATTACTTGATTTCCTGCAGCCATCTAATCCCGAGGAGCTGTCATGCGAAGGGGAAGTGAACAGTGAGAATTTGCTGAGACAGGCCATGAGGAATTCTGGCATTGTGATTGAGAGAGTCACCATGGAGGAGATTCAGAAATCCGACGAAGCCAGTGCAGCTGCTTCTGAAGAGCTAGAAAATGAAGGGGTAGAAGCGGAAGAAGAGCTATGTGGAGAACAGTGTATCGAAATAGAGCAAGTAGAGACTGTACGTTTAAATCCTTGTACTTTTCACAGAGCATAACTTTTCTTTACCATAAGAAATATCTGGTCTCTGCAAACACAGAGTTCATGTTTGATTGCTAGCTTCACTGCATCTATTTTAGTCTTGCTAGTGCTCAATTTGCAGTGGATTAGCAGAAATTTAGAGTAACGTTTTTCATGCATGTTAGAACATGTAGCGTCAACACCATCTGTCCTGTTTCTTATCTTGTTTCTTTGTACCAACGTGTGTGTGGTTTGAGTCTGACTAGCAATATGCATTCCCCAAACTCTGTTGAAAGTATTTTTGTTGTGCTGTTTGTTTTTAATAGACAGATTCACAAACAACAAATGGCTACAAAAGTTACGTTTGCTCTCATTGCACTGAAGTCTTCAGTGAGGCTGCTTTCCTTGAAACGCACATGAAAGAACATTTAGGTAAGGCTGCCGTGAATTTTCTTTTTGTCCAAAATGAATTCTCGGCCGGTGCCAGAGCATTTTCATTCCATCTTTGCATAAGGTATGCTACCGTCCATTCTAAAAAATGATACGCAGATTCAGCTAGTGTTTGAGAACCAGCAAAAAAAAAAATGAAGAGGTCAAACTGGCTGAGAAGAAACATTTTGCTGAGATGTGAAAACATTATAGAATCGCTTCTAAAAGAAACACAAAGGCAGCTCTGCATTGCAGGTGCTGCAGAGGAGACGGCTTCTTTCACTAGTGATCATAAGATTGCACGGAGAGGCCACGAGCAGGTTAGTTCTAGTTGAGCAGGGAAAAGGCTGGAGAGAAACCAGGTCAGTGGATTTGGCTAGAAGAGCTCCTTGAAGGGCTCTAAAAGCATATAATGGTGATTGAAGCTGAATCCTGTAGCAAAGGGGAAGCTAATAGAATTAGCCGAGACTGGGACAGAGCCCATGTGCTACTTTTAAATGCTGCTCCTTCCCATGTGCTTTCCCTCTGGTTCTTGGAGAGTATTTCAGAACTTCCAGCAAAGGTGTGGCGCCATTAGCAGCAGGGCAGGCCTCCTCTCTGCATGTTGCCCAAGGGGAGTCTAGTCTCCAGCCCATCTCTGGCCTAGGAGGGTGCCTAACAAGGATGCTAGCTGTGGTGATCGGATTCTCTTGCTCTGCTGTTGCCGGTTGCCCAGTGCAGATCTCCCTCTCTAGAGTACAAGCCGTTTAGATGCGAGGAGTGTGGGAAGGAGTTCCCCAAGGGCTACCTGTTAAAGAAGCACCAAGAAGTGCATGTCCATGAGCGGCGCTTCCGCTGCGGGGAGTGTGGGAAGCTGTACAAGACCATCGCACACGTGAAGGGCCACAGGAGGGTCCACTCGGATGAGCGCCCCTACTCTTGCCCAAAGTGCGGCAAGAGGTACAAGACCAAGGTAGGCGTGGCTGCTGGGCTGGTCTGGCCTTCTGGGTTCTCCTCTGTGGAGCCAGAGCAGGGGGGCAGTTAGCAGGCAATGTCCAGTGATCCTCAGGGTGACAGATAAAATCCCTTAAGCCAGGGCAGAGGAGGGTCACTGGGCTGTGAGAGATTGTTCTGGTAAATCGTTTAGCAGGATTTGAGAAGAGATTAGATGCTAGAGAAAGTTGTGACTAAGGATAAACCCTTGTGCTCATAAACAAGCTAGTCACTTCTGGGGAAGGGGATTTTCTTTGCATGCTGCCATGTTCAGTTTCCTCTGAGTTATGAGGCGCAGGCTACTGTGAACCAGGGCAGTAGGGCACTGAGGTCAGCCTCCTAATGAGATTCCACAGCTGACACCTAGTGCATCGCAGGGACGGCAACTTCGTTCTCTGTTAGTGGCCATTAACTGTTTGAAGAGAACAGCAGAATCCTGACCTGCCCTCAGCAGAGAGAATGGCGTTGCAGCTCATATAGCTGTAGGGATAGCGACTGCCTTCCTGGTCAGAAGCGGCGTCTGTCGCTGCCTGGGAGAAGAGCTCAACCGGCAGTAACTGCCACGTCATGCGTCAGCTGTTGCCCCATCACATGTCCTCTCTGCCGCAGAATGCCCAGCAGGTTCACTTCCGGACGCACCTGGAGGACAAGCCCTACGTGTGCCAATACTGCAGCCGGGGCTTCCGGGAGAAGGGCTCGCTGGTGCGTCACATCCGGCACCACACAGGCGAGAAGCCGTTCAAGTGCTACAAGTGCGGGCGGGGGTTTGCGGAGCATGGCACTCTCAACCGGCACCTGAAAACCAAAGGTGAGAGCGAGGGGCTGTCGGGTCCTTGGGGGGTCCAGTTACAGCTGTTGGGACATGTGCCCTCAATGGCTCAGTCATTATGACTGTCCTGTGAAAATCTACGTGGTGTAGACCTATGATCAGAGACCACGGACTGGTCAAATCGCACTGAGTGATGTTAGTGCCTAGTTAGAGTGGGTCCCGTCTGCCTCTCTCGTCAACTGAGTGGCATCAAAATGCATAATGTTCATTCTTTAAACTGCTCTATAAATTCCTTTCAATGTGCCGTCTTAAACTAAAAGTCACCATGAGCAGGAAGAATGAGAATTGGTCTACGGGTAGTAAGAACTGGTCCAGCTATCCCAGTATAACTGTGCCAAAAAGCAGAGCCGAGTGAAACTGAATTTGCTGATGTGTGAAGTCCGAATAGCAAAAATATCTCGGCTGTCTACTTGCTTCAGAGTTGCGTGCAAGATCTAGGTTCAGCCTTTCGGAAGGGAAAGGTATCGTTCACCAAACAGCCCCCATGCTGAGGGGGGCGGGGGGTTTGATCCGTAATGGCTTCCAAGAAGCTAATCCCAGCTCACCTCTTTCATTGATAGCAGCAGAGGGATTAAAACACAAAAGAATCTCTTGGCTCCAGGAGCTTCTTAAATTTGGCATTTAATTACCGTAATGGAACTTGTCTTTGAGTAACTTCACTCATCAAGAAACCACTCTCCTCTTGCCTTTTTCTACCAAACACCATAACGAGGCGTGCAGCTGGCACGGTCTGCTGAACAGATGTTAATAATATTATATTCAAGATGCTAGCAAATAGTGAGCCAAATGACTGGATTATCTGCAATGGATTGTCTGTTTAAAGCTATGCTTGCTTAATAAACTGTAATGTCACATGTACGTGCCGGACGGTACTGGTTCTACAGGGTAGTTGCACATCTGCTTCTGAAAACACATTGCATAAGTAGCTGAACTGTGTATTGATACAGTGGACTGTTGGGGAATCTCAGGTCTAGTCTTGTATGTTTATGAGGAATGTTTTAAGTCTCTTGTGATTTCAGTGCTCAGACTGTCTTATGTATTTCTAGTAATTCCAATAAAGTCGAGGCCAGATTATAGTCTCCTATGGAGCACGACTTGGAGACTGACATTTGGGCTGAAGATAACTTAACTAACTCCTCCCAGGAATGTCTCGTAGAAGGTGTCACTAGTTTCCTGTGATACCAGGTGGAACAGGTGCAATTCTGATGAAAACCTTTGCATCTCCTGGATTATCATGCAGGTGGCTGCCTTCTTGCATTGAAGGAGGCTGAAGAAGTGCTGGTTTCAGAAGAAAGCCAGTCAGCTGACAACTTAGCTGCCACTGTTATTTCTGAAGATCCTCACACTGTTCTGGTGGAGTTTTCCTCTGTGGTGGCAGACACTCAGGAATACATCATCGAGGTAACATAGCCAAAACCATTGAATGAGGAAGGACAGTGGGAAGGCGGGCTTGTTTTGCACTGAAGTCAGCACAGTGCTTGGCCAGTAATGCATGTTCCTCCCCTGGCTGCTGTATTGGGAGGAGCATGGGAAATGGGGCCCAGCCAAAGCCACCATCTCCCCCAGGGCTGCAGAACATGCAGGAGCTGCGTCCCCACCTGTGAGGCAGAAGGACCTGTGTGGTTCCTCCCCTTTACCCTCACTTCACATGGCCTTGGGGGAACTCGGGGAGGAGAGAACTGGGTGAAGATTCCAGCCAGTCCTTATCTCCTCTCAGCAGCTCCTGTTCACAGGGTCTGGGGGAACCGCAAAGAGCTGCCCGCTTCAGAAGATTTAAGTATTTGACCTAGGAGAACAAGGAAGGCTTTGCAGGAGGTGCTCCACAGTCCTAGTCCCTAGCTTCTCCCCAAACAGGATTCTGTTGTAGTGTTTAAACACCATCTTGTTGTCTCTCTCAAGACCGCCACAGAAGACATGGAGACCAGTGAAGCTACTGAAATAATAGAGGGAACAAGACATGAGGTAGGCAGGCCTTGTCACGTGCTGCTTTGCTGTTCTACCCGCTATACACTCCCCTCATTTAAATTAACTTTTAGCATCCAAAAAGCCACATTAAGTAAACCAAAGCCTGGCTGGCTTGTTTTGCTGGAAAGTTGCAGTTTTGCAGAACTGGCTTTGTGGCCCGGCCAAAAATAGCATACCTCCTGCCTAAGTAAAACAGCGTGTTAACACCTTATGGCCTTTGTGAACCTGATCCTCTTAACAAGTCACAGAGGGTACTAAAAATAAAGACTGAGTGGAACAGAGGGAATGTCAGCACTACACATCCCTGCCTCGTCCCACTGTGGTGACGGACCAGTCTTCTGCTGAACAGCGTGCAGTTCCCGTTGTGACTTGTCCGGCCTTTTAGGTTTTTGCAGTGCTGCTATTGCTGTTGTTTGAGTAACTAGTCTGTGACATCCAGCCTCAAGCAATCATTTAAGAATAACTGAAGTCGTGACTTACGCAAAATATTTTTGTCCCCAAAGGTGGGCAAAGATTCACCCCTCAATGACATACAAAGATTCACTCCTCAGTTCACCCCTCAATGAAATGCATCTCATCCTCTTGCCAAGGGGCCGTAACTTCAGGAGATGGTGGAACTAATCTGAACCCATTCAGTGCTGCCTGTATCTGTCGTAAAACATTGCTGGTCGGCAGTCACGTGGGTAGCTGTGACATGATTGGCAGGGGATGCCAAGCAAGCAGAACTGTCAACATTCAAAATGCTTTTTAGAAAAAAAATAAGGCTGTTTCTCTCCTTTTGCACAGATGGACAGTCACATCATGAAGGTTGTACAGCAGATAGTGAACCAAGCAAACTCTGGCCACCAGATCATCGTGCAGAACGTTACGGTGGCAGAGGACTCGGAGGTAACCACTGATGCTGCAGACACAATCACCATAGCAACTCCGGAGAGTCTCACGGAGCAGGTTGCTATGACATTGGCTTCTGCTATCGGCGAAGGAGCGGTGCTGACGACAGAGGGTAGCATTGAGACGGAGGAAGCAACAGTAACGATGGTTGCATCAGAGGACATTGAAATAATGGAGCACGCAGGAGAGTTTGTTATAGCTTCCCAGGAGGGGGAGGTGGAGGTTCAGACAGTGATTGTGTAGCCCCTGGCACAGGGTGAGTGGCAGACCCCCAGCACGTCTCCAGCAGCGTTTCTCTCCAGGGTGGGGAATTAGGGTAGAGCTGCATAAGCTGGCCCATCCCGGTGTCTGAGGAGTGGGAGGAAAAGCCATCTTGCGTAGAGTTATATATAAACCAAACCAAACCCTTTATAACCAGATGGAAGTGGCTTGAATCAAATACAGCCCTGCTATTACACTTTTCAGTTGACATGGAAATGTCAGACTCCTGCATGGTTTTACTGTGGAGGTGACTGCTCAGTCTTGACTGCCACAGACTCCGTGTTTTGTACAGCTGCCTCAAATAAAGGAACGTCCTTTGCAAAGCAGTAACCTTGGACCACGGGACGGTAGTGTTCTGAGATTTACCCTTCAGCATAGAAGGTAAAGCACGTGTGTCATTTCTTGCGAGAGAGACTCCTCGCTACCTAAGCTAACTGTAGTCAGTTAATAAACTCTGAGGCATTTTTGGGGTGAACTTACCAAAGCTGGAAGGCTACTGCTTCCTGCCTTCCAGCCTCCCCTCATAATGGTAATGCAGGTTTAGCTTGCTTGATCATGAGAACAGCCTTACGTACTTGTGTACGAGCAGTACATCACTATATCCTTGCTGTGTCACAAGGCTGCTCCAAGAGCTGGCCTGTCCGTGTAGAAAGCCATACTGTACGTGACGTTTTTTACCCAGGTACAGATTTTTAATTGCCTCTTGTACAGTTTCAGCTTGTAAATAAAAAAAAACAAACACATTTTTTTAATAAAATATATTTTAAGTTGCTTCTGTTGCTCTCTGATTTCTACTGAGTGAAATGGTGACCGTGAGAACAGCGAGGCATCTCTGCAACAAGAGCGGGGGTCAAAACAAGGCTTTGGGTATCTTCCATTCAAAACCAAGCACAAATCTCCTACTTGCTGATATAGCTGGGCTCCAGCCTGTTAGGCCAGGAAGCCTGCAGCAGAGCTATGACAAAGTCTTTGGCGAGGCGTTTGGATGGCTTTTCCATTTATTTTAAAAGAAAAAATATATAAAATAAAGTGTCCAGCAGTCCTATACAGACGAGGTGGCAACAAGTAATGTGGTTCTTGGTAATACATGTGAGCTACTGTTTTCACAAGGGACCCAAGACCTAGATATAATCCATAAATCTAAGATTAGCTGTACAGCATAGTAGCGCTTTGGGCATACTCGCACAGAGCTGATACACCTACATAACCATAAGATTTAACACATTCCTTTCATGAACTGTCTGCTTACCCTAAAATGCACTGAAAGGGCCTTTTCAAGGACTTGTATGTTAATTTTATTACAGTACTTAATACAGTTCCTTGAAGGCTTTATTTGCATAGTTTGATTTTTTTTTCTTCCTTTTGCGATAGTTATGATTCTGTTTCATGTTCATTAGTTCTTAAACACATACGAAATGTGGTTTTCCCCAAGGCTAGCATCATACCTTAGCTTTAACTCTGCCACTCAAAACTTACCGAAGACGACAGAACATTTTAGGATACATTGAGCTATAATCACATCTTAAACAGCTGCTTTCTACCGAGACCCATCATCTTAATCAATTATGTTCAGTAGCACACACATAAACTGATCGCTGTCTCCAAAACGAATGTATTAACAACTGTATTTTACAGTTATGTTCTTTAGAACAAAATCCCTGAATCGTAGCACTTAGTGGACGTTAGTGTCCTTTCAAGAGTCCTTTGTGGCCTAGGAAACCCCTGGTAGAAATTAAAGACGATGTTTTAAAAAAGAGTTAAATTTCCTCAGGTTTTTTTCTTTCTTTCCGAGACTGTGGGAGGTTTAATGATTTCCTTTATGTTGATCCAAACTCCTCTAGAGTATGCATTCCTGTATGCAGTGTGCTTGTCGTGGGGCTGCTGCGCCCGGCAGTGAGGGCACTCGTATCTTCTCCATTTATACCACTCGTTGGATGTTTGGTTGGTGAGAGCCAAGTACAGAGTGAAACAGCAGTATGCCCCCAGCACCAGAGAGAGGACGATCACAAAGCCAAGCATAAAGACAATCCTGGGAAAGATCAGGAACAGGTGCTGCAAAAACAGACAAGTAGTAAGTGGCTTTAAAGGCCCAGGCCATACCCTCTGATTTCAAACACTCCAATCAGCGCTATTAATCACAATGCAGTTCAGCTCTAAGGGCAACTCCAAAATGAACCACTTATTACTAAACTGCATTTTCATTATCTTATCTCCCCAGTTCTGCCGGCCCAGGGGCTATGTGTGTAGTCGGACTTAACCAGAAATACACCCCTGGGGGAACTGTGCGTCTGAGAAAGAGCCCTATGAGATATTTAACTTCCACTGGATGGGAAGAGGTCCGCTTTGACATGTCAAGGACACGTCACACTCCTTTAAAAACTCATTTGTACAGGATAATGGTAACCTGCTTTCTGTAAGACCATGTCTGTATGGATCAAAGCTTTATGTTGAGCTAGAATTCAGAGAAATGGATTTTCTGAAGAAACTGTTACCTACATCAAGTGTATACTTCAAAGTGCCTGTGATGACAATTCCTCTAACAATATGTCTGGGCTCCCTGCTATGATACCCATAGGCCCTCCACCCTGATAGAATGGATGTGCAAGAGGATTCTTAACAGATGAGACCAAAACAAGCCTTTGATCAGGCTGCACACTCAGAAGCAGGTTAAAGTCTAGATGCTTGGAGTTTACCTGAATAAGAAAGGGAATCTCAACCTCGTGCTCCTGCCCTTGCTCATCAACGTAACTCCCGTACATCAGATTTGATAGCAGCACTACTTGGATTAGGAAGGCTACTGTTATGATCGCAATGTCGGCAGCCATAGCAGTCAGAGTGAAGAGGTAAATGAGGAAATATCTCATGTTGAAGGCCCCGATGCAGTTGTTGACCCAAACGCAGTGGTGGTCAAAACGATGTACACAGCAGTTACAAACACCTGATCAAAAAAGGAAATACAAGGCAATGTAAGTTATCTGGCTTTTAAAGGACATGGGAGATTTTTATGCAGCATGGCATAGTTCTTTTAAAGGCCTGTGCAGGACTACGATGAGCATTTGCTGTTCTGGTACAAGCAGAGACAAGTGCCTGATCTTACAGGGTTAGGTGTGTGTGCAGGAGTGTCTGGCGGTGTTTGTGACGATATAAACAGCCTTCCAAGTCCCTTCTAACAACCTTGTATGGTCATTAGACTCAGAGAAGAGCCAAAAAACTTCAAAGAGCACGTGTCACTTCTGTGCTTTGAAAGCATAAACACGTGAAACTGCTTCAACTTGTCCATCAGTTAGAGAAACTTAACCTTAAAAAGATCAACCACGGCTACAACAGATTTGCAATTCAGTTCCCTGTTCTACTCGCCTACCAAGGCTGGAGCTCAGAGATTTGGGTTTCTCCTGTTAGTGCTGCCTACAGCGGCACAGGCAAGATAGAGAGCAGCTGCCTGCTCTGTTTTAGGTGATGGCGAGAACACCATGTTCTGCAAGAGAAACGCACAATCCTGAACTCAGGTCTTGGGAGGTAAGGCCTTTTCATGTCACCGTCACTGCTCTAACTTCCCCCAGCTTGCTTTCCAGTGTCTTTTCTACAAAGTGCAAATCTAGAGACACACGTAAGAGACTGGGTCTGCAAGACATTCGCTGAAACCAACCAAGGCTCCTAGTCTCCACAGCTGTAGTCTCAGACACCTGGGAACCTCTGTTCAGGGGGTTTGTAAGCAGCCAAGCTATGGAGTTGGGCTAGTGAGCTGGAGGCCTTCCTACAAATGAACAAGAACGCCAACGACCTTGTGCTAGACTTCATCTGGGGAACTATATTAAAGGCAGGGGAGTGGCCATTATTGGTAGGAAATTAATTTGGTAGGAGGTTGATTTTTTTAAATCTCAACAAGCATAACGATGACAACTCTTACTGCAGTGCTTTGACCTGGCTGGCTTTTCCATGTGGCACGTGCAACACATGACGCCTTTCCGAAACATCACACCGTCGTGTGCGTAAACCCGAAGATACAACTCTTGATTTGATTCCGTTATTGTACCTAGAAGAGAAACAGCGCCATGGAGGAGCAAACTCTTTCCCCCCGCAACAGCGATGAACATTTAGTAGAGCACAGGGCTGCGTCTGTCTTTCGAAGCCGTCTGTGTGTTGCCAGAATGTGGCAGGAATGTTGATGACTGTAATGAATTGCAAAGGGTACTGAGCCCATGTTTGGCATTATTCCCTATGGCAACATCTTACTGGATGGAAACCAAGTTACAAAATACTGATGTTTGCAACTTGACCCGGACCCACGAGAAACACACAGCAAACAGAACAAAGGCTATGAAATCAGGAGGATGGCAGCGCTCCGGAAAGGGGAGGAATGCGCTATAAATCATCCCCTCCCTTGGCTCGCTCTCTTCAATGCCTGTTCAAAAAATGCTCTCTTGGTTTCAAAACTCTCCCAGGATACTCTCTGTAGGCAGCCGTTCTCCGCTCAGACCCCTCCTTTCAACCAAGCCCATCTCAGCAGGTAACAGTTACGGCAGTGATGGGTGGAGGAAGAAATGGGGAGGTGAGATCATTTGACTGAAGGTGCAGAGTCAATTAGGATGCAATCCTGGCTCCCAATCACAAGAGCTGCCAGGTCCCACTCCCTGCTCTGGAAGCTTTCATATTCCAGCCTTCAGAGCACATGGCCACAATACAGAAAATACAACCAGCCTGCTCTCCTCCTTGCTAGTGGGTAATTACAGGCAAAGTGCTCTTAACATCCCCCCTCCACACACACAAGGCATAGTGTTTTTTATGGGGGAAATGCTGAGGGGAGAGGTCAAACTGCCACTTGTCCTTTCAACCCTTTGTATTTAGAGCACTAAGACTCTGGGATACAGGGAACAGTGCACCACACAGGAGGCCGAGAGTGCTTCTGGTCAATTAAAGGATGTGCTGAGCCACTGGAGGAGGCACCAGGTCAAAGGCAAGGTGACCGTCACTCACACAATGCACCCATTTCCCCAGTAAAAGCTGCATGCCTTGGATTTCTAGCAGGACACCACGTAACATCTGAGCCTTCATTTACCAGCCACTTAGTTTTCATGTTCCGTTTTCACACAGCTGCCACGGGCGCACGGCCGGAGCTTACCTGGGTTGGTCAGAGCGCATAGCACGAAAGCCCCCGTGTTCACCGCAAGCAGCAGGTACGGCAGCAGAAGGAAGCCCGTGTTGAACTCCAGCTCTTGGCAGTAGCCAAACACTTCCCAGGTGTATTCACCGTAAACTGCTGCCTCCAAAGCTACGTGCAGGCCAGCAAACAGGCCGTTTCTGGAACCAGAGAGGAAGGGCAGCCCGTTTTACAACCAGGACCCGAGTCGTGAGAGAAGCCGTGCTTGGACAGTAGGCTTCAGCAGCAAGGACTTTCCCCAAGCTCCCCGCTAGGATCCAGGTCTCACAGGCCTAACTCGGATTCCCCAGCAGCCCGGCCAACTGCTCTCTTGCCTGGTGTTACACATGAGCTCTCCTGAAGCCAGCAGAAAGAGCTCTCGCAGCTGGAGACCCCTCCCTGCATGACCTTCCCAAACCTCCTTGCTTGTTCTAGTCAATCTCAATAAGCCAAGTACAATGTCTTGTAATTAAGAGGGGCCCACGTGGGCACTGACATTTGCCATTACGACAGGCCAGGTCTCAGACAATAATACAGCGCTGGCAGAGACTTGGCGTGATCCCCAGAACCGTTCTACAAGCACTGAATAAGCCAATTCAGCACCATCTTCACTTTAAGAAATGCACAGCTTAGCAGTCCGAAGGGAAAGGCAGAAGCAGCAGGGGAACAGACGGGTGGCATTCTGGGAGGTTATTGAGGGCAAACATGAGCTCAGGCCTGTGAAAAAGGCTGCAGATGCCACTAGAGATGTTTGAATTGCGTGCTGTTTCTCTAATGTTTGGGCTTGCAGGAGGTACAGCACCCTGAGCCCAGCAACAGCCCAGAAAATGGGTGCACCGATGGTGGAGGCTGAAGGGAAGGGCAGGTCCATTAGCTCTGCCGCTGTTACGAGTCAGCTGGCCCCGCACCAAAGGTATCAGTTCTGTGCTATCAGCAGTGCGCACTTTATTACAGCTTGAACTCTCCATTGCCAAAAAGGCTCCGTTTTATGCTACGGTTTTCATGCTGCTCTTGACATCAGAGTTTCTGGGCAAAGTCCAGAAATAAATTCCAGTCTCTGCTTTTGCTGGCTGTAGCGACAGCCTGGATGACTAACCTGAACACAGACAACTGGAGCTCTCCCAGTACCCAAAGGGATGAGAACATCCCTTACAGAGAGAACTATTGAGCTACATTATGTTGTTATCTGTAAAGTCTACTTCACTCTTTAAAGGTTAATATCCTCTCAAGAGAGGAAGAATAGCATGGAAAACTTTAAGAGGAATCCGTGGTAGCCCCTGACAGAGAGAAGTGCATCTAAGAGCAATCTAGCATGGCTTTGTGGGTGCCAGTAGGATGATCAGAAACAGACCAGGAAAAGGGTGTTAAGGGAAAAAAAAGTGTGGTACCGTGTGTGGAAGAGCCTGTGAAGCACCCTCTGCGTTGCTCTTTGAAGCCGTGTTGGGACTATGAATGAAAATACCTGCGGCAAATGAAAACACCACGTCACTTGAGTTGCACAGTGCTTGTTCTCCCCTGTGAAAACTTCAAACAGTGTAATATTGAATGTGTCTGTTGCACCTTCCCTCTGGGCATTCCCAAGTGTAGGACAAACATTAATAACACCTCCGCATGCCTCTGAGGTAAACATTATACCCATTTTACAGGCAGGGAAGCTAATGAATGGAGGGCTGGATTTACATGACGGTTATTGATGCCCCTAGATAAACAGGTAGGTGTGTTTAAAAATCCTACTCGATCTCTAAAAATTCATGGAAACTAATCCTAAGCCTATCCAATTCAACAGTTTCATGTTTTTCTGACTGTTACTTCAAAACCTGCCATATGCGGAGGAGGGAAGAGCTGCCTGCTTCCATTCAGGAACACGCTTAGCTGACTCAGTGCTGCAGGACTGCTCGTCTCTTCACGAGCCGTGCACAGGACGACTTATCTCTATAGCAACACTCCACTTCATCAGTGGTGCAAGGTGTACAGCAGCCAAGCAGAACAGCTACCCGTGACGAGCAAGCAAAAATACACTGCACCTCATGTCTTCTATCTGAGATGTGACAAGATGACAAGAGGCAGGAGGCTTGGGAGAGATGTTACGCATAAGTCTTCTCACTGGCGTGTCTGATGGCTGTTTACAGGAGATTAAAAAAAAAAAAGAGGCTACACTAGAGGTGTAGGAGGTGCATTAGACACAACTAGGCATAAAAACAACTTTCAAAACCCAGTTTTCAATTAACAACACGGATGTGTGTTAATTGTCATCCATTGTTGATCTGAGAGCTGGCAAAAGGGAACACCCAATTTCCCTCCATGTAAAAATTAACGTGGTGCAGCACAAGGAGCTCTTTCAGAGGGCTCCCCGCCCCCCTTGAACTAAACAGCATTCATGTTAGCCAAAGCACAAAGGCTCTTGAGACTGTTGCGTTTGCCTCCAATGGTTACAGAAGCATATGGAGAGACCTGTAAATAGACTGCAACCATTTCACTCCAATGAGCCAGTGGAAGCATGAAAACCAGAACAGTGGGATGGAAGCTGACCTGTCAGAGAGCTAGAAACAGCTGTGGTATGTGTAAGTACATCATTTTATTGCTCAGAATATACATGCAAGGTAGTTAAAATAATGCAGCCAGATCCAACTTATACAACCTGTGGATTTATGCACTTTGGAACCAGGGGCTAGAAACCGTCTTTTAAAAGATACTTGTTATCAATACTGGAAATTGCCCTGTCGTTGATTATCTTGTGAGAATTTCACATTACATTTCTCTAAAGAAACAAGTACTTGTTTACATCTTAAGTGGTACTTATAATATATTTTGTGTTCGTGGCAAAGAAAGAGAGAGTCATTTTAAGTAAGAAAGGAAGCCTGATGAATAACTTGTTCTGTGTATTGGTTCAAGACCAGTATAAGGCAAAATGAAAAGAAAATACTGCCAGTAATAAAAGCCAAGATCAGCTCAGTCGTGTAACTAAATGTTAAACGTGACTAGTTACTGGACTGACTTTTCAATCTTCTTTCCCTGCATTATTACTTTCTGTTTATACAGAAATATTTAAAAGAATCTAAACTATTTGTTTCTTCTTGTTCTAAATTCACTTCTTTCATGTCATTCAAGAAACCCTGAAAATCTTTAATCTTCTTTTAAAATTCCTCACTACACTTGTTAGCATAATCTAGGCAAGCAGCACTATGACATACGTGTTGTGTAGTAACATTTGACAAATATTTTTTTTCTGAAAGGTGTGCAGTTAACTTTCAGGCTTCTGTTATTTTTATTCTCCATTAAACTACAAAACAAACTTTTGCTGTCAGCTACAAAATGCGGTAAAACACGAGTCCACAGGGCTTTGGGGCTCTGGATTATAATGCAATGCCGCTGAACCAATGTCATTTTTCAATTGTCCCATGCAAGTTATGTCCTTAGCACTATTTGGCAGTCATTCCATGCACTGAGTGGTACGTTCATTTGTGCTAAATTTTGGTGTTGGTTTTGCAGCCCCAGATAATTACGCCCTTCGTCTATCTGCAGAACAGAAACAACGCAGAATAGCAGCCGTGCAAACTTCCCCCTGCTGGTGAACAAAGGGATTTGCTGAGTGGGGAATTCTGCGTCTGCAGCTTGTGCAGATTTCAGTGCTTCTGCCGAGACCAGCTGCTAAATGCAATAGTGGGATCTGAGAGAAAGACAGCTGTGAACTGGACAGAGATCTCACTGCAGAAAGACCACTTAGTAAGAGATAGTAATGAGTTTTGGTCACACTCTGCAGCGTCTGAACTGGTGATTAAGACATGAGGGAAAGTGCATTTCTATTCACGATGTCTGTTTACATCTACTTAGAGGGGTATGCTTTGCGCTCCATGGAGGTGTCCGTGTAAAGATTACGTCACCACCCAAATTCCTTGAAAACTCAGCGTCCAAAGAAGCTGGGTGGGAACAGGGAGAGAGCTCGTCCCAGCTTATCGCAGGCAGGCTGACATAGGCTGCTTCTGCTCCGTCCTCTGCATTCTTGAATGAAAAACTGCTCGCTAGGGCGCCCCAGGGGAGGACAAGGAGCAATGGCCGTGGATTGTCAGAGGACAGTTTCAGGTTGGATGTAAGGAAGAGCTGCTTTATGGTGAGGGTGACTAGAACAGACTTCCCAAGGTGGTGCCATCCCCAACCTTGGAAGTCTTCAAGAGGAGACCGGACAGACGCATTTGATCTCCGCAGTATTCCTGCCCAGAGCAGGGGGGTTGGACTCCATGATCTTTTAAGGCCCCTTCCAGCCCTTAATTGCTACGATTCCTCACCCTGTCATACAGGATCTCCCAGGAAGGGGCCAACCCACATCTTTATTGTCCCTCCTCTGTTCTGCCAAGGCCTGGGGCAGGACTGACTCCAAGCAAACGAGTGATGAGCTCTTCTCTATTTTCCTGTTCTGGGATATGGGTAACGTGCCAGATCGCCCTGTCCTGTAAGGTTTAGCAAGCACCGTGCTTAGCCCCGCCGAGACGCATCTTGTGCCCACACGAGGCAGAGACGGAGGCTCAGCCCGCGCTGGCGTGCGCTCGTCCTCACGCCACGGAGACGCCGCTACTACCTGGCGCGAGCACAACGGTGAACGCCGGCTTGCTTACCTGGGTCACGCAACTGCTACCTCTGGCAGGGACACGCCGCTCGCTTCCCGCACAAAAGCAGACGAGCGCAACGCCCGCCAGAACTAAACACACGTAAATCACGAAGAGAGCCAAAAAGTCCATCTCGAGCCCTGCAACACAGCAAAAGCAGCTCCTCGCGTTTGCCTCCTGCTGCGCGTCGGTGTCTGGGCCGAGGGAAGGCCGCGTCCCCGCAGCCGCCCGCCCGCCCGCACGGGAGGGACCGGGCTGCCTCCACGACCCTATGCGGGGTGCAGGGGGGCGACCCTATGTGGGTTGTATAGGGGTGCTGCAGCAACCCTATGTGGGGTGCACAGGGGATGCCGCAGTGACCCCATATGGGACAGGCGGGGGGGACCCCACATGGGGTGCACAGGGGATGCCACACTGACCCCATATGGAACGTATACGGGATTTTGGGTGACCCTATGTGGGGTGTCTAGGGGGTGCTGCAGTGACCCCATATGAAACATATAGGGGATTTTGGGGGACCCTATGTGGGGTGTATAGGGGGTGCTGCAGTGACCCTATGTGGGACATGCAGGGGATGCTGGGTGACCCTATGTGGGGCGTATAGGGGGTGCCGCAGTGACGCCATGTGGGGTGTCTAGGGTGCCCGAGTGTGCCGACGCGGGACGTATGGACTCTATAGGGGCCGCCCGTGCTCACCGCCGCCCAATCGAGCGCGCCGGCTCCTCCCCGGGAACCAGATGCT